ACTGTGGCATATGAAGAAAATGGATACAACAGGAAAAGGGGATGACAGGGTCTTATTTTGGTAGCCCTCAGGAGCCGTGCCTTCCAGCCTTTATACCCCAAACTAGTCACTTATTCTTGAATGTGTACTGGCCTCATGTCCAGTACAGTGTGGCAGGAGTGACAGTGGTCCAATTCTGGGTCAAAGATTTCAGAATACTTGGCAGATTTGGCTTTTGCATGTTGATGAAGCCAGAYATCACATATGAAGACTGACTACCAAACCATGAAAGCCCAACAGACACATGGYGGAGACTTGTTATGAATAAAATGTTTATGTCTCCTCAAAATTATTTTATTGAAGTCCAATTTGGAGTTGGGGCCTTTGGAAGATGATCTAGATGAAGTCATAAGAATGGGGCCCTCATCATGGTATTAATGCCCTTTTAAGACACGACACTAGGGGCCGGAGTTGGGGCTCAGCGGTAGAGCACTTTGCCTAGCCTGTGCGAGGCACTGGGTTCGATCCCTGGCACCATGTAAAAATAAAATAAAGGTATTGTGTCCATCTACAACTAAAAAAATTTTCTAAAAAAGACATTAGAGAGCTTGTTCTCCGCCCCCCCTCCCCAATCTCTCCCTCCCCATTGGATGCGTTCACTCAAAGAAAAGGTCTTATGAGCACGTAGTGAAAAGGCAGTCCCCTGCAACCCCAAAAGACACCCCTCACCAGAAACTAACCATGCTGGCACATGATCTTGGACTTCTAGCCTCTARAACTGTGAGAAAACACATTTGTGTACACTTAATTTATGGCAGCCAAAGCAGACTAACTCAAGCACCAAGCACCAGTAGCCTCAGGGTTACATTTTGATGGCATCCAGCATCTACCTGGCATGCCAGTGTGGCTATCTGGGGAGTAAAACTTGAGCCCCTAGGGAACAATCYCAGAATTAGAAATGTTGAGCAGAGACTAGTCATCTCCACTGAACTCTGTCCACATTGCAGAATTTTGAGCAAATGGTTGTTATTTTAATCTACCATATTTTAAGTGTTAACAATAGTAATAAATAACTGAAAAAATAGAAATCTTTTTTTTTTTTTAAATATTGCTGGATTGTAGACTATGTGTGCCCTTCAGGGTAGTTAAATGTTTTATTTATTTTGAAATTTCTATTTAAGTTGCTGGAATATTTTTGAATTTGACATCACTCTGCAAGTGCACTATGTGAATGATGACTTCATGAGCATTATCAAAAGCAAATATAGGGCTAGGGTTGTGGATTAGTGATAGAGCACTCACCTAGCATAGGTGACACACTGGGTTTGATCCTCAGCACCATATAAAGATAAATAAATAAAGATATTGTGTCCACCTACAACTAAAACATTTTTTTTTTAAAAAAGAAAAAAGCAAATATGTGCAGCCTTTGTGCTTTGACAGAGAGCTGTGATTATGATTATATAGACAATTGGGAAAATTAGTTAAARTCTTAACAGGATATAGATATGAAATAAAATTTTATATCCAAAGTAAATGTGAATAGTAAWGATTCCATGTTGTACCACTTCTATCAGATTCCATTCAAAATTCACATAAAAAGGTTCATGTTAGCAATTAGATTAATCAAGGCAAGAAAAAGAAACCTTTTGATATTGGCCACTAATCTTGTTTTGTTTTGTTTTTTTGGTATCTGAGGATTGAATAAGGGGTGCTTAACCACTAAGCCACACCCCTAGATATTCTCATCTTTTATTTTGAGACAGGGTGTTATAGTTTAGATGTGATGTCCCCCAAAAYTCATGTGTGAGAGACAATGAAAGAAGGTTTGGAGGAGAAATGATTGGTTSTAAGAGCCTTAACCCAATCAGTAATTTAATCCCCTGATAGGGATTAACTGAGTAGTAACTGAAGAGGTAGGGTGTGGCTGGAGGAGGTGGAATTGGGGTGTGGCTTTGGGGTATTTATTTGTATCTGGTAAGTAGAGTCTCTCTCTGCTTCCCTCTGCCTCACCTTGAGCCTGAGGAATGGAGCCAAACTTCTATGGTATAAGATCTCTGAAATTTTTCCTACTCTAAAATTGTTCCAGTCAGGTCTTTTAGCTACAGTGGGGGGAAACTTATTAAAACACAGGGTCTCAATGAGTTGCTTAGGGCCTTGCTAAATTGCTGAGGCTGACTTTGAACTTATGATCTGCCTGCCTCAGCCTCCCAAATCAATGGGATTACAGGTGTAATCACCAAACCCTGAAGCTACTAATTTTTTTCAACACTGTAAAAGTCAAYGTCTGYGTGACCATTCCAAAATGACAGAATCAAACTTTCAATGCAACTGAAATTACTTCTTTTAAAGATATAGAATCTTATTTCATAGGAACAAGGGTTTAGTTCCCTCAGACATAAACTGAAATGAAAGGGTGCCACCTAATGGTAACCGACAAGATGACTTGGAAGCATCAGGATCACCATACTGGGTCTGACATGGTTAATCCARCTCTGCATATTATGGCTGCTAAGCAACTTAAAATGTGTTCCTCATCTTCAATATTTACCACGAAGATTAGGCAACTATAAGCYAAGAAATTATTCAAATATAATATCTAACTGCAATTTCTTCTGTAATGTTCTCTAGGTGTTTACTGAGAGCAAGGTTTTCTTGTGTTGCTTTAGTTSTGTTTGGTTCAGTTTTCCTTCCTCTAGTCTAAGCATTTACATACCACTTTAGAGCCCTTTTGAAATAATTTTAGTGTACGAGCCTGAGCCTATCTCTTCCAATAGGTGATAAGCCCAACCAGAGTGAAGGCCCTGTCAGCTTCATCTAGGTATCCTTTGGGCATAGTCTCGCTCTCACCCCATACTTCCATTCTACTATGTCCACTATGTCATGACTTTTTGTGTCCTTGACATTGATTTTCCCAACTAATATGACAGAAAAATGCAACAAATATAGTTGCAATATTTTAATGTGGGCTTAGATAAAAAGCATGACTTATGTTAACAGTTCACTTAAGTAGAACCCCCATGAATTAATGGTGCACCTGTGTCAATGTGAAAGGATTCATCCTGAAATGACTACATATATATATAGGACAGCCCCAGGCTCACCCTTTATCTGCAAACTGTAGCATTCAAAGCTATCTCAGAGAGCTCAAAGATAAATTGAACAAATGTTAATCACATTTCACTTTTTTATTTTCTTTATCTGCATTTCAATTGTTCATATCTCTGCAAATATACCAGAAAGCACCAAGATTATCTTCAAAAATGCTGGGCACATTTTTTTTTCCCTCTAGTCAAACTAATGACAGTTGAATAAAAAGAAAGAAGAGTTCTTCTGAAGGTGGAGTTCAGCACCATACATTAAGCAAACGTTCCTGGCTTTCTGTGGAAAGCACGGCTTACACCTCTGGTTTAGGTCACAGCAGTTCTTTCAACAGCTTCTTTCCAAGACAGAAACAAAAAGGAGCACCAGCTTTTCTTGTAAGGATCCAAACTTCCAAAATCTGCTGACCTCTTTAGGCTTTCATATTTTAAAATTAAAAAGACACCTTTGATTTTTTAAAATTCAGAATCTTTTTCATCTGGATTAATCTAATATACACCCTCAGGCCATGAAGACAAACTTCTCAGCATAGAAAACACCATGTTTGTTGTTAAACTAGAAAGATCTGAGTGATTAAGGCTCTGAGTGAGKTTCTGCCAAACCACAGAAGGCTAAATCTGGCTTCTTAGTGTTCAAGGATACTGATCCCTGCTGGGGGAATGTTTGTGAGGCACAATCCCTCCGTTCTCAGTCTTTATTGATTAAAATATCACCAACCCCTGTTCCACCTCCACCACCAGGAAGAAGAGTTATGCTACCATTATGTAATTGTATTATCCTATCCACTATTGCTTTWAAAAAAAAAAAGCCCTGAAACCACACATTTCAGAAGTTTAGTTACAAACTAGATGCTAATACCTATGGATAGCATATATATAGTGTACATAGGTCATCTCTAAGTATAAATTCTGTGTAAGATTCAAGACAAAATAAATAAATGAATAAATAAATAAATAAAACTGTATTAGTAGTTTGGGATTCTGAATTTAAATAGTTATCACAAGGTGGAGATTCCTTCTTGCCTACCAAAAYAGTCATTCTTCCCTTTTTCCTCAAATTAACATAACACCAATATTTAGCTAAGAATATAACTACCTAGACAAGACTACATTTCCCAGCTTCTTTTTTATGGTCATGATGTCATGTGACTAAGATCTGGCCAATCAGAAATGAAAATGTTGAGAGGGGGTTCTTCTACTTCCTTAAACAGAAGGGTGTGCTCTTCGCTCCTTCTTCTGTTTATCCAGAAACATGGAATGTGATGGCTAAAGACATAGTCAGCACTGGAGGATAACAGTAATAAGGGCCATGTCCTACTAATGATACAGGAAAAGAAGAAACCCGGGGTACCAATGGCTTCACAGGATCGTGGAATTGTTTGCCTCCTGACTTCTATACAAGAAGTAAACTATTGACCGATATTTTAGGACTTTAATTTTATGCAGTCCAATCGAAACCTAAGTGATTCACACAAATCACTACTKTCTATTATGCATAGTAGCCCAGCTCTTCAAATGTTTCACTCCATCTCTGTCAATTTTCTCGGAGGACTTGGCCACCCCTGAGCTTCTTTATTCTCCCTGTCACATTGAGTCACAAAGTCTCCTGGGTTACAGCACCAGTAACAACTTCAAGCTTCTGGATTGATATACAGTGGAATTCCCTATCCAAGACAAGTGGTCACTTTAGGGCAAGGAATTAAGAAGAGTTAATTCACTGTGTAGACTAGTACTTTGCCACAGTTGCTTTTCTGTTGTCTGCCTTCCGGGAACCATCAAGATGGTAGGGGAAGATCAGTGTGGGCTAAGATTTTTTTAGAACTGTAGGGGACAGGGGATAATTTGAAGAAAGAATCTACTGGAATTGTAAGATGATATATAGGCTACTGGATCCAGAGAAGGAAKGAAGTTGCTGGCAGTTTAGACAGTAGAAGTTTCTACCTCCTGGGCAGAATCCTTGTTGGAGAGATTGCCTGAGATATTGTCAGATTCAAGCAGCTCCACGATGCTGTAGGGAGAACAGTCTTCCAGACCCAGCTTGCTGCACAGCCAGCCACAGAAGCCTTTCTCCATGTCCCGGGCAGCTTGCCACCAGGCCCCCCAGGACCACGAGAGCTGGACCACAGCAGCATAGAGGCCCAGGGAAGAGGCCATGGCCATGATGAGCACTGGATAGAAGAGAATGAGGCAGGGGCAGCAGGAGATCTTGTGCCAGAAGGTCCTCTCCTCATTGTACACAAGGAAGATGTTGTACCAGGTGATAGTGCCATAGTAGAAAGAGACAACAAAAGAGAGGACAAAGACCACGGGCAGGCAGACCAGAGTCCAAAGGACCACGTGGGGCCCCCGGTCTGCTCCCATCTGGCATGCCTTTCTCCCTTCAGGTGCCATTTCCTTTGAGGACTCTTTGGGTTTGGTCAATTCCTGCAGCTCCTTCTCGGTCAATGTGACATGAATGTCTACCATTTGACCCTTCTTCTTCCCTCGTGTGATGGTCCCTGTTAAGGTGACATAGCGACTGTCGAAAGGCATGTTCCACATACCTGTAGGGCACAAAGGAGGTGAGAGTCAAGATCTGAAGAGTGGACTTTCATCAGGATGTATCCCCTGAGGTTGGGCCCATTATGAGATGTCTTTTTATAGCATCTGGCAAGTAGTAGAGTCAGGGATTCAGTAGTAGACTGAATAGTCTCCCTTGGAGGGTGACCACTGCTATTATCACTCCATGGCATGAGCTTTCTCTCCATTTCTGAGCCCTGATAAAATGTGAGACAGTTCTCTCTCCATTTCTCTGGACCTCAATRTTGGCATGATCTTTGTGACATAGAGTGAGGAACTTTACTACAGATAACACTTTAATGATCCTATTTCAAGTTAAGAAGTTCTGTTAAAATATCATTTATGAGTATCACTCTGGGTGTGTAAAGATCATTGCAATCAGCTTATAYATAGCCCACGACCCTTCCTTTCTCATGCCTAACTTTACACTTCCCTGAGAGGGGACCTTTTCATATGCCTGTGGGCATCCCAGCCTTCATATTTAAGCTCTATTCACATACTTACCCACCCCCCCACATACCACACCACTCACACCCACCAGACACCCCACCCCAGTCCTGTAAGTACCTCCAAACCCCACGTCATACAACATATAGATACCATACGCTCCACTTTACCACACATACCCACGATATGCACACACACACACACACACGCTCCCCACGTATACACCCACATACCACACACATATGCCATGCACACCACACCACATTTATACCCCCCACGTGGGAGACCAACCTTGCAAGTGACTGAGTTAACTCCACTGCTGGGTGATGTGGCAGTCAGGCACCCATGCTGCTAGACTGCCCCACTCTTAAGGGTTCTTCTAGGGTTCGAGTGACTGTGYTCGGGTGTGGCTTCCTACAGCCCCATGGGTGGAGCTATGCTCACCTGTTCCTTTAGGGTAGAATCTTCCATGGAAGTGTCTTGTGTGTGTCCCCTCCTCTTACTGTGCCCTTGGGTGTGGCCTACCTAGATGTCAGTCAACCTGCTGACAGTGGACATCATGAAGATAGACTCAGTCCCCTGACACCTGACCCCTTGCCTCATTTGAATAGCTTCTCCTCAGTAAAAGGGGTCAGCGCGTGCTTTCTCTCTCTCTTCCTGCGGACCCTTAAGGTCAGAGGAGCCGTCACAGCGACCCCAAAGAAAAAGGTATTTGTGTCTCGTGTGGTTATTTTGCACAGCCCAGTTAGCCCAGTTTACCTGGAGTGACCCCTGAGCCTTTTAGTCACGAGAACAGAAACCCGGCACCCCCAAACATCCACACCCTCCATTCATATAGTACACATGCACACACACATACACACACGCAATCACAAAATAGCTGTCCTTTGACCACCCTTGAAAAGGGATTAGAGATACTGAGAAGGGAAGTCTGTAGCCTTTGGTATGTAAAAGGTAGTCTAAAAATGTGGGGGTGGATTGAGGACTATAAGCTTAGACAGATGTGTTCCCTGGGCCCTTTGACTAGAAGACTTTACCCCCTAGGTGGGAAAGAGACAGAAGAAAGCCACCTAAGAGCAGGATTCAGGAGTAGCAGAGGCTATGATTGACCTAGAAGGGATGTACTGTACCCCAAACCTAATGGTTTCACAGACTCCTTTATCTTGGCAAATAAAACCATCATTCCATTGTTCTTTTCAAACACCTAGGAGTCATTGCTAATCCTCCCTTTTCCCTTATGTCCTGCCTCCAATCTGTCAGCACATAGCACATTATATTCTGAATCTAATTCCTCTTCCTCTCTGGCACTCTCTCTCCTATCACTGAACTTCAAGCTTCTGCATTAGCATTATTGTGTTTGCAGTGTCTAAAATTCTCCCATCAGTTTCCATTCCTACTCTTTGCAATCCAGTCCTTATAGACAAGCCAGGGTGATCTTAAGCTATGAATGAGATAATGTGTGTCCCTTGTTTAAAAGTCCTCCATTCACTTTCCCTTGCACTTATAACAACTTCCAAACCCTTTTCTGTAGACCTGCAAGACCTGCAACAGTGACGTTATCTGGCCCCTGCCCCACTTTCTGACATCTTCTCAACATCCTTCCCCTTGTCCTCTACACTCCTAAACAGAAACCACTCCATTCTGTAAATGGGCCAAGGTTGCCCTCAARGCCTTTGCCCTTGCTGTTCCCTCTCCTTCAAAAGCTCTGCCCCATGTCTTTTCTCAACTGGCTCTTTAATGTCATTTTGAATTTGCTCAAAATGTCACTTCTTCAGAGAGACCTTCCATGACCACACAATCTCTTGCCTTATCACCCTGTAACAGGACTCTTCTTTCTATCATGGTTTTACTCTTTGCTACGTATACCACTACCTGAAATTATCTTTTATTGGTTGGCTTATTCATTGTTTGCCTTCCCCTAACTAAAAGGTCAACTCCGTGAGAGCCAGGCTGCTGCTTTGACTTATTCTGTAAGTGTGCGTCCTGGATATCTATCCCTCTACACAAACAGATCTATCTCATCCTTCCAGTGCTGCCCAGTTATTCTTAATACAGACACTCCACAGTTCCGTTAGTAGCAGCAAATATTCTTATACATGCTTTTTCACATATGCAGAACATGAGTATAAGTTTCATAAAAGATAAACTGTGAGGGCTGAGGCTGCAGCTCAGTGGCAGAGTGCTTGCCTAGCATGCTGAGTGAGGCACTGGGTTAGATCCTCAGCRCCATATAAAAGAATTAACAAATAAAATAAAGGCATTCTGTCCATCTACAACTACAAAAAATTAAAAATAAGAAAAAAGATATTCTGTGGATTCCTGGGAYATAGGGTATATATATATTTTGAGTTTTAATAAATATCAACAAATTCCCTACAAAGTGGGAAGTTTCCACTTTTACTTAAAATTTAATATCCTCACATTGATATTATTATACTTAAACACATTTTTGGCAATCCTACATATGAAGGAATACTTTATCTCACTGATGTCATAATTTCCATTTTCCTGATTATTGTGAAAATCAATAATTTGTGGACTTTATCACACATACATTAAATTAATTATCATGGTCTGCTTGTGTTACTGATTTTTGAACACAAATCAGCTTTTCCCACTATATTAGGAGTTCAGAGAGTGTAAGATCTCCTCCATCCCACCTAGAATAGAAAATTATAGGTTCTAAGTAGTACTACCAATTGCTGAAGGAAGACTGCAACCCTGGGAGAAATGTACCACCAACAAGAAATATAGACAGATGAGGTCCCCCTCTTTGGTTCCCTTCCCATGGCTTTCAAAAAGGGGTCCCAGAAAGACTCACCATCATCTATGGGATAGTCTAGGAAATCATCTCCCTCTTCCTCTTTAGGCCGATCTCCACCTTCTGAATCCTCAGGCTCATCATCCATTTTCTCATTATCTGACCGGTAGATGATGATAGATTCTGGACGGGATTCTTTCCTCTTCTTTTTCCTGCGACCCATTGTAGATTCCCCATCCAGGGCCAGAGCAGCAGCCACAGCCCTCCTCAGAGAGCCCTGGTGGGAGCTTGGGAGTTGGTCCGGGCCTTCCAGTGGTGCCGGCTCTTCCATACCAGTCCTTATGTTTCGCTGTGCCTTATAAAGAGCGTGACTTGCTTGAGCAAGCTCACAATCCACACATCACAGAGCTTCTTTCTGGAGAGGACTATGCAAAGATGTCCCAAGGATGTCTGTCACCTGAAAGACAGGAAAGCAAAGCCATCAACAAGAAGCAAATCAGATAGCATAGAGAAGGCCTTGGGAAATCATCCCCAACTTGGCAAAAGCCTTCCCCTCTCTTTACTTCTTATAATTATTTTGGGAGCCCAGAGGAAATACTCTGATAAGAATAGATAGTGAATAAAATTTTGTATTACAATATTATTATTGTCATTTATGTAAATGTATAATGTTACAAAAAAACCCACAGTCCCACTGAGAAGTGCAGAGTATGAAGTCACTGAGGAAGATATACAGGCAGATGGGGSTTTTAAATCAATATGCTCCCACCATAGATGGAGACTGAGATGGCTGAGACCAGTGCTCTGGACTTCTGGCTACGAAGTCATACATTACAACTATACGCAAGTAAATGAGAGCAACTCTGAATGAGACACCCCAAAACGGTGCAACATCACCAACTGCAGCTACCTTGCTATTCTATAAAGGAAACCCATCTCTTGGCTTCTTCTTGGCCCAAGCCCTCAGAAAACTGCAGAAATAAGTCCTACTGCATGCTGGGAATAGCAGGGGGGAAGATTGACTTCCACTCTCAACACTCCAACTTCTCTTTGTTCTCCAGGTAAACAGAGGCAAGGAGAATCTATCTTTTAGGGAAGATGCTGTGTTCATGGTGTATGGTTCATGTGTGCAAAATAACCTTGGGCTTATTTTGAATTTCTAGAGGAAAATTAAGGAATCTTACCTGGAGTTTGACATTTTAGGCCAAGGCACACAAAGAAAATTTGAGGAACTCTGATTCTTAAATTCAGATGATCTCCCAGGAAGTTGTTGGGGTTTGGAATTCCTTTTGGTTGAGATATCTAAGAGCATAAAGGTGTATGCAGGAAGAGTCAGGAAAGAGGGACTGCACAAGATAAATATCCCCAAAGGACAACGAACCCAGTCAAGAGAGCACTGAGTACGTTGGAGCATTAATAATCTCAGCCAAGGCTCATCACCAAAGTAGTCTCAATACAGAAAAATGAACATCTACTGAGAAGGGATATGGAGGGGCTGGGGATGTGGCTCAAGCGGTAGCCGGCTCGCCTGGCATGCGTGAGGCCCAGTTTGATCCTCGGCACCACATACAAACAAAGATGTTGTGTCTGCTAAAAACTAAAAAATAAATATTAAAAAAAAAAAGAGAAGGGATATGGAGGCTGGGAGGACACGGTCCTCTCCAAGGTTAAGATTTTCAAGTTTCCTTCTTTAAAAACTCATATCAATTTTAAATTCTACTCTGTAAATATCTAATACAAAAATGCTTTCCCTAGTTCAAGTCTTCTAGGAAAATTGAAGGAAAGCTGAATCACGGTGATCCTATAATAGGAGTTACCTCTGACCAAGCCACTTTATACCTACCTTAAGAGTACAGCTATCACAGCCTCAGGGCCTATCCTCTGATCCACAGTGTTTTCATGACTTAGAGCTTCTGTTTTGCTCTGTAGTTTCCTTCCCTGGTCCTTGTGTGCTGGGTGAAACTAGGGTTTGGAAGTGAGAACGCAAGCAGATTCAAGAACTGCAGAGCTGGGACAAAGTTTGTCTTCTTTCTGTATCCCATCCCTTCTTTTAAGATGTGCCAAGATGTTCAAAGAGGGAGGTAATAATTCCAAACAGTGTGGCGAGTAGGCAAATTGCAAATCTCATATTTCTTGTTCTCTTGGGAGATGTGGGGCAAAGTAAACACATGCCCAGAGATGACAACCATTGTTGATGGGCTTTATACACAGGAAAATGTGCAGGGTTCTCCTGACTTGGATAGTCATAATAGGAAAGGACAATGTTAGATACAGAAAGAGCTTCCTGAGTCTAAGGATGGAAAAAAATACAGAAAATAAAAGCTAAGAGAAGATTTTGAGACTCTAGGCAGTGTATAAACAAATATAACCATCTTGTCGAATTATGGTGGGGGGCAGTTCTATCTAAAGGAAAGGAGAAAGAKGACATTTGAAGATGCTATTCAAACATTTGGATTGGGCATAGTGGTGCATGCCTGTAGTCTCAGCTACTTGGGAGGCTGAGGCAGGAAGATCACAAGTTGGAAACCATCTTGGGCAACTCAAAGAGACCTTGTATCAAAATGAAAAATTTCAAAAGGGCTTTGGTGATAGAATGGTTCCCTTGTGTGTGTGAGACCCTGGTTTCAATCCCCAGAAACACCAAAAGAAAATTTGATAAAAATGATGAAATATGAAGTAATAAACTCCTGGTAATTCTCTATAGGGCACCATTCTTTGCTTCAGACACAGCTCTTTTTAAACAAGTAAGCTTGGCCAGTGTCAGTTCACCAAACAGACACTATCCCCCATTCACCTGGAAACATGGTTCCCAATCTCCCTTCAATCAGAACATGATCTTTTGAGAATACAAAAATTTCCCACACATGAGGAAAGGCTGAGCTATTTTGTAAACATGGTAAAATGCAGCCATTTGAACMAGTTTAAACCTGATCAGTGGATCAACAAATTCTCTCAGTCTTATAGAGGCTGCTACAACAGCATGGGCTATTTATAACCTCTAGACTAGGAAACTTAGAAACACAGAAATTTACTTCTCACAGTTCTGGAAGCTAGTAAGTCCCAGATATGGGTAGCAGCAGGTTCGGTGTCTATGAGGGCTCATTTTCTGGTTCACAAATGTTTTCTTCTCACAGTGTCCTTCCATGGTGGAAAAGGCTGTATAATGGTCCTTGGGCCTCTTTTATAAGTAACCATCCATTAATATCCTCCCAAAGATTTGATCCCATGTTCTAATGCCATCACGGTGGGGGTTAGGATTTTAGCATATGGATTTTGGGAGGAAACAAACATTCAGACCATAGTACTCCATGAAGATGCCTTTGGAAATCCATCTATCAATCAAGTCATCATTTCTAAAAGACCAACAGGTGACTTTCAGTTAAAAGGAGCTGGCATTGACGGAGCTAGCTTTCAAAAGCATGTTCACTTAGGTCATTATTGATTGCACAGGTTTAAAACTAGTACTGGTGTCTACTTGGTATGGCACCATAGCTAAAGAACAAACTGTCTTTTCTCAAATTTGTGGGTATACTTTTTATCCAGTTTGCTGTGAGGCTTAATGAGATCAGACATGTTTCAGTAAAATGTATATGGTTAACTGTTGCTGTGGAACACATTACTCCAAACTTAGAGGCTTAAAACAGTACACATTATCACTCTCACACACACACACACACACACACACACACACACAAAATTAGGAGTGTCAGAAAACTGGGCCTTAGTTGGGTGGTAAGTGGTCTTCTCTGCTTGCTTACTGACAAAAATATTTGGAAGTCCAAAGGATTTTTTGTGTTGAAGTGTTTCTGAACCTTACGGTTTTCTGTAATTCTCTGAGACAGGAGCTGTTCTAAGTGCTTTACGGTGATCATGTTATTTAATCTTCACATAGATCAATGAAGTAGGTACTATGTATCAGTGTACCCATGTAGAGGACTCTGCCCAAGGTTACATGGAAGTAAGTGGTAGGGTTGGGACTCACACCCAGGTTTGCTGATTTCAAAGCTCATGTTCTTTTCACTATGCCATACCACCTGCCAACATTTACCTGAACTTTTAAACTTAAATTTATAGAATTTACTTTGATTAAACCATTTCCTATGTTAAGGATATATTCCTATATCCCCAATACTAAGCTGTTTCTGAGTCCTGCCAATAATTCCTAGGAAATCTCTTTGTTAATCTGTTCATTTGGATTTCTGTCCCCACCATATACTAAAATGAGGCTCACCACTGCTTCTTCCAAGCTGTTTTTTTCCTTCTTCCACTTCAGAATTCTTCCTTTACTGTTTTAAATAGTGATTAACAAAACACCAGTAGCCATCACTACTATCCAGTAGCAACCATCAGTATCTTGCCACTTCTAACTAAAATGTATCTAAAAGCTCTCCCTGGTGTTCCAGAYGCTCCATATTCATGCCCATTTGAATTCAGTAGCAATTCCCCTTCCCTTCAACATGACAGCTAAACATGTCWCCTTATGTTCGTTTTTTCACTTCTCTCTTCTTCTCCACCTCTTTCAAGGCTTGCTCAACACAGACTTACTCAGTCCCTTTCCATTACTACCCAGCCCATGTCTCTCCCTCCAGTTCCAGCCTTGTTGAAGGAGTGTGGTGGGAATTCAATGAGAGGTCAAGTCAGATTCCTAGAATGTGACTGATTCTTCTTAACTGTCAATTTTCATTCCTTCTTTCGTCTCTTTCTGCTCTGAATTTCAATAGCACTTCTCACCTGTGTCATACTTTTAATCCTTCGTTATGCAGCATTCCTTATCATTTTATTGATTATAGATGCTATTCAAACATTTGGATTGGGCAACATGAACCTTCATTTATCATCCAAAGAAGATTATAAACTTCTAGAGATCAGACACTGTCGCACAATTCTTTTTTCACCATCAGTGAGAAGACCACAGGACTGGACACGTAGCCAAAAGTCAGCAGTATGTACTTGTTAATAGGGCAGAGAAGGGAAGGTACCTCCTTGGAAATATGACATAAACAACTGTTAAGGATAACAGTTGAGAACCAAGATGGCGGGTAAGAGGAAGGCAGCAGTCTGTGTCACTCTGTGACCTGGGACTCAAGTAGTGAGAATACTGCTTCTCTGTGAGTGATGCTCCTGCTCCCTCGCAGGAATCACGGTCAACCTGCCAGTCCAGGGCTCCAGGCCTCAGTGTCAGAGCAGGTCTCCCAGCTACTCAACCATGCAGGACAACCGGGTACCAGGGCAGGACCATCAGCAACAGCACCCATGCAGAACTTTTGGCCACCTACCCGAGCAGAAAGCATGAACACTGCTCCCACAAAGGACACCTGGCAGCTTCCCAGGYGCAGGAAGTCTGGCCGCTTCTCCTGTGTGGAGCCCCATCTGGCCATGTGGAGATCCCCCAGTCGCAGACATCATAGGACTCTGCAGCAGCAGAGACAGTACCCTACGTGCCTTAGCCTGCCTATGTCCAGGAACCTCACACAGGCTCTGAAGTCAGAGGACAGCCACATGCTCTGCAACACAGTGTTCCTCTCTGAAATCATCCTGGCTCCTCCCACCTAACCCAACATCCCATCACTGAAAGCAGGCACCTCAATCTTGGGCCACCTTCATCACCATTTTCAGTGGGGGCAACTTCCAGTTTGGAAATCCGACTGGGGTACCCAGTTTCTAACTCTCCCCCTCTCCCCAGCAGCCACTGCCCCAACRCAGTGATACCCTGGTTACCCTTACCATCCTGAGGGTGGACACGCCAGCTAACAACAGATGAACCCACCTATTGGATGAGAAGGGAGCAGGAAAGATACTGATCTTCAACTGAAACAATCCCTGTTTCTTCCTTCAAGATTTTTTTTCCCTCTTCCTCTCTATTCTCTCATTCTCACATCCCCAACACAAGTGAAACCAAGTACTTTGCATGAATTATGATTTTGAGGACTGGGACATCTGAATAGCATATTACAGTTGTGTTGTATATATTTTTTMTTTATCCTTTTTTCTTTTTTCCCACCAATTTCTACTATTTTAACATTTTTTAATACATATGTATGTTTGTTTTATGTACTCTATTGTCTTCCTACTTACTTGTCTCCTCCAAATTACTTCCTCTCCCTTCTCCTGTTACTAATCTTCCTCTTTAGATTTCTCTTTCACACTTCCTAAGATATAATAACTCTATATCCTCTCCTCCTACCTCCTTGGCATATCATCCTACTCCTCACCCCTGGTTCTTTGTCCACCATCAGA